ATTTTTATATCTTCTGTTAGGTCTTGTTTTTTTTCTTTGTCTCTTCTTCTTTTTCTTGTACTTCTTCTTCGCGTTCATCTTTCGCTTGTCGTTTTTCACGTGTCATGGTTGTGTTGATTCTTCATGTCGCCGAGCCTGTCGTCCCCGTCGTCGACCTTGTCTTAATATATATATATGAGAAGAAGAGAGATAGATAGAGAGATAGATAGATAGATAGATAGAGAGAGAGAGAGAGACAGACTGACAGAGAGAGAGAGAGAGAGAGAGAGAGAGAGAGAGGAACGTTGGCCTGTCGCATTTAAGCTGCTTGCATCACGTTGCCATCAGACATGACGTTTCCACAACCTTTTTTAGGTTTCGTTTTTTAGTTTACTTCGTTTTATTTTTTGATCTTGTTCTCTTATTCGTCGTTTCAGGTTTCCTTTGTTAGTTTTCTTCGTTTTTATTTCTTATGCGAGTCCGATATTGTTCGGACGTGTACCGGGCAGCACACATAGCGCTGAGTATATATATATATATATATATATATATATATGAGACGATGAAACTCCGACGAAACAGTTTGTCACAACCCCTCGTTTGTTGTCCTCTTCTCTCTCTCTGCCTACGATATATATATATATATATATATATATATATATCTACCTACAGTTTACCGGGCAGTTCTGTTTGTGACGATATATATATATATATATATTTGGCGAATAATTGTTTTTTTTGTTCTGTCAGGTCTTGTTTTTGTCCTTGACTCATCTTTTTCTTCTTCTTCTTCTTCTTGTACTTCATACACAGCGGTCAGCATAGACACCCACGACATATACACATGCAGGCACAGAAACAGAAGTGGTCGGGAAATTATATATATATATATATATATATATCGTCACAAACAGAAGTGCCCGGTAAACCGTTGGCAGAGAGACAGAAAAGAGGACAACAAACCAGTGGCTGTGACAAACTGTTTCGTCGGGGTTTTGATTTTTCTTCATATACATGAATATATATATATATATACATAGCCGGGTAAACCGTTGGCAGATAGAGAGAGAAGAGGACACCAAAGCAGGGGCTGTGACAAGCTGTTTCGTTTGAGTTCCACCGACTAATCATATATGTTTGTGACCATATATATATATATATATAGATATAGATATAGATAGATAAATAGATATATATATATATAATCACAAATATAAGTGTCCGGTAAACTGTTTGCAGAGAGAGAAAAGAGGACAACAAACGAGGTGCATGTGACAAACTGTTTCGTCGGAGTTTGACCGCATGTT